CTATTCACTTTGCACTGAACAAAGCAAGAACAAACCAGTGACTAGACTTGGAAGGTCAGTTAGATTATGACCCCGTCGTTGTGTCATGTAATTTCAGTTTCAAGTGGTTCTTAAAAATGGCTTCAAAGCAGAAACCGAAACGTCGAATAGCTGAAAACTACACACGTGGTTCAACCCAGACGACAATACATCATTGATTGATGCAACTAGTTTTTCTTTGTTTTCAATATTTTAATATTAATATTTGTTCACAAAAAGGATTCGAAGCTTTAATAACTTATAATTATTATATGCGAGCGCTTTCGATAGCAGGCTGTGTTATCATATTCATGGCTCTACTCAAACTGAACGTTTTATCTTCTTGTTTGTTCTTTCATACGTTAAGAACGCCCTAGTGCAGGTATTTGCCCTCTCCGGATGGAAAATCTAGTAACACCTCCATTTCGTGAACATAAGTGGAAAAGATACATCTTCAGTTCATTCAGGTTGGAGCTCAGCTCCCTTAATGGGTTTATGACTAAGGAGATATTGGCGGTATGAAAAGTTCTCAGACATCAGTACCGCCCTTCACGGGAGTACCGCCCTTCACGGGCTCCATGACTCATTACCAGATTTTACTCCGCAATTTTTGTGTATTCTGTATTTCGTATATGGTATTCACGTAGTTTTTAATCCAATGGTATATCGCATATTTTTGAAGTTTTCCATCCATTCAACAAGAATTCTGACTTCTGATCAAGACTATACCTACCCTTTTATATATTTTTTTTTCACCTTTCTAAAAACATTCCTAACGTTTAGAAAATGAATTAAATCGTGCATATTGTGAACACGCCGTACCTCAAAACAAGTTTTGGGAAAGACCAGTTCCTGCCGCAGTAGGAGACGAAAAGTTTCGTACCACTAACCCGGATCTTTTTCTCCTTAGTCGCATTTTTTCTTATATTTTCCGGCTTCGTAGGCCGCGTCCGCAGGTTTTTATGCCTGTCGTTTCGTGGTAGAGGGCGTTGTCCAGATACGTGTGCAATTAAGTGCAGGTAGTCAATCTTAATTGATGTTAGTTACCACGTTTCTCCCCTGTTTTTCATTTGGTAATTTTTATGTTTCAATAATTTTAAATAATAAATTATACATCAATGTTCACATACATTGAATTGTTAATAATCATTTCAGTAATATTTTTCAAATTTCATTGATATTTCATACAGTTTTTGATATCAGTTGGCAGGGATATTTTCCCATTTGTAGGAACATTTTAACAGCAGATGTCTCTCATCACACTTGCACCATTTCTGTTCTAATCTGTTCCATGGTTCTTCCTGGATTAACATAATAAATTTTAAATTCTATGACATACTTCATTTGTCAGTATTCTAAGGTACCTAATAAGTACTCTTAGACAAGAGAAGGGAGGTACTTGTGATTTCACCTATTGAATTTATATTCTTGAATGTTTCTCAATACGTTTCATTGATGATTGTGCGTCGAATGAATCGTCGAATTATTTTATATTGAGGACTTATCTTATTTCACTGGCATACACCATTTTTATAATTCTCTTTTTTGCTTGTAATTGAAATTTCAAATTTACCCTAAAGATGATTTTATTGAACATAGCACTCAAAAAATGGTTTACCATAGACGTGTTGTTTCGGGCGTTTGTCCCATCATCAGTATGATACACTAAAGTGGATATAAAAATTATTCCTCATACAATTATCTGCAAAAAATGTCTCTTACATTTTTCTGTAAAGTTAACCGTTTTCGGACTAGAGCGCTGAGAAATCAACTAGATTATGATGATGCACTCGTTTTCGCACCACCTTTGAGGTAGAATACAAGGCGCGTTTTTTTTACATTGTTTCCTCGTAGGCATAAACTCTAATAAAAGGTTTTTTTTATGCTCAATAATTTTTTATTTGTACATTGAAAAATAGGGAAAAAAATGTTTGTATGTAATTTTCTTTTATATTCATTAGTCGTCGATATCCTCAATTTCAACTTGATCAAAAGTTGCTGACAAAACATCGAGTGGACTTATTGCTGTATTTAAATCAACATCTTCATCATTTTCTTCACTAGTGGACTCTGCGTTTAAGCATGACTGACCACGACAATGTCCACAAGCTTTAGAACATCTCAATCCAATTTTTCACATCCACATTTGCCGCCACAACCTTTCGTACAATTACAAAAGATTGTGTTTAGTAGATCATCGGGTGCTGGTGGCAATAAAGTTGTTATTGGTTGTAATATATTATTTTTCAACTCCCAACCCCACTGTTCTGGATCAATTTCTTTTCCTAGCCAGGTTTGTATTTGATAATAGACTCGATAAATTTGCTGTTGAGCTGCTGAAGAAGTGGGAGATAATAATTGAAATTTCACAGCTGTGCTTTGTCTTGATAATTTAGCAAAGCTGCAGTATCTGTAATTGTAAATTGAATTTTCTGATTTTGGAGCACCGTACATTGCTAGTAGAAAATGTATTCCAGCATTGACAAGGGCATCTCGAGCGCAATTTTCTTGTTGGAATATTTCTGCATAATTGTGTAATTCAGGTCTTTTTTCAAACATCGTCATGACTTTAATTTTTCCTTTCCCAAAAAGTGTTGAAGTTGTGTCACATCCGGCCATAGCATGTAGAAACAGAATATTTTTCTTGCAGTGTGGATACTTGTTGAGGCTCTCAGTCGAGTATATTTTTATTTCAACATTGTTTTTCCCTGGTTCTTCAAAAAAATGGATGTAGGTTGACCAAGTATTTGTGTGCATGATATGAGAAGTACCAATAGATCTATGTCTTCGCCAACGATAATTGTAGTATTATTTATTGATTTTTCAATTGCTCTTTCAACTATTAAGACGTCAGCATCATCACGTGATTGTCTTGCAGAAATACCAACTTTTTCGAAATTCTCAAAACGCCCGAGTAGAAGTAAAAAGAATTAGCCTACACTATACGGGCTGTAGAACAAATGGGACGAATATGTCACGGTTTACGATGTTCTACAATGAAATGTCAAAGTCCTCGATAATGGCTGAAATGAAGAACTGTCTAAAAATTCTAAAATATATCCATCCAACAAAAAATCAAACCGAACAATGATAGATGAGTGATCAAAGCATGATCACCACGCATATTTGCATCTGTTGGGTGATATAAACGAGCCTGCTTACGCTGACCAATTAGATTCAACTGCAATCGGCTGGCTGAATTCATTGTTACAGTGTCGGAGTGGTCAGTTACGTTTTAACGCCTGTGGTGTCTACATATACGGTATTTTGAAGTTTGACAATTTCAAAATGTCAAGTACTGACACGGCTGAAGAAACTGCTAATTTGTGTACCTACACTCCACCTAAAAAACTTTTCTGTAACGGATAGCGATTCCTCGATTTGTTGGAATAAAAGCTCTACTCTCTCGATCTTTCTGGAACGTCCCGTCTTTTCGAGAGTTGTTCCACCAGCTTCAAAAGAGTTCCATCGGCATATATAACATATACCGTATAACGTATACCGCGACGTAGGAGAGTCAGCTTATAATCATTTGACAAATATATTTCGGTTTGACTCTGAGCTTTTCCTGGCTTTAGAAAGAAAATAGTTTTTTCAGGTGGAGTTCGAGCAGTAAGAAATACGAATAAGTCTACATCTTCACCAACAACAATAGTTGTATTTGTCAAATTAAATTGCTCTATAGCTGTTTCAATAATCAGTACGTCGGCATCGTTATTAGCCTGTTTAACCAATATATTTTCGCCAAGAAACTCATCCTTCAACAGTGAAATGAACCGAGATTTGTTGTGAGTATTTTCAAGAAATTTCTGTTGACTGGTACCTGATATTCTTTTATTTATACTTAGGTAAACTAATAGAAAAATATTTTTAGTTGAATTACAACTTCAAAGATGTACGTGGCATACTTATGCATATAATAACGATTACAACTTTTTGACTCGTCGTGTCTCTGAAACGGTGGCTTTAAGCCCATTTTCTGTAGAGAATTTCATGATCCACAATTTTTATCTGAGGTTATTTTATGATAAAACTTACGGTTTTTCTGAAAATCGCGAAAAACCATTTTTTTGACCTTTTACCTCGAATAATTTTTTTCCAGGCATGGCAATCATTCGGAATTTTAAAATCCTATTTTTACCTATGTTTTGAACAATTACACGCATTTGCAGCTTGTTATAAGTTCACTCTTATTTTTTAGTCTAATTTGACCGGACTATTAGTTCGGAAAGTGTAGTGCGAAATGAGTTAATAAGGCGATAGACATTTGAGCATTAGTCATTGTCAGTGTACCGGTAAATTAAAGTTGAACTTAATTGTAAAGTGTGGTCAATTATTGTCGAACTCACACAGAAAAACGAGAAAATTTGTCGACTAACTTCAAAGATCCTTCTCAGTCTTTTTCAGTTCTTATAGCAGTTACACCTGGTCTTTCTATTTCGGTTCATTGTGGCTTTCGTTCTATCATCGATCTCCCTTCTTTCTGTTTATCCATTTCTGTTGTATTTCGGGTTTTGCCGTGGTCATCTTTGGGTGACATGGCTTCGTTTTGGCGTCTTTCAATGCTGTGTGCTAGACCTTTGGTAGATATGTTCTCTCTTCCTTTCTGTTGAAGTTATCTTAGTGTTTATGTATTTCTATGGCTTCTAAATACATTCTTGTCCATCCCAATCGGCAACTCCGCTTGTTCAGTAACTCTGTTTGGTTTTCTCTTCTACGTTGTTCTTCCTCTTGCAGGGTTAGTGAAGCAGGGGAGTAGAAGTTCTTTTGCTAGTGGACACGTTAGAGAGTTGGGTCTACCTTGAAGGCCTCACACAAGTGATTGTTTCACTGCCTTGAAACCTGAAAAAACAAGAGGATCGTATAATGCCCCGCACCCCATCAACCACAAATTTGCTAAAATGAAAATTACGTTGTTTCAAACGATATCAGACAGCTTATTCATATACTCGATTGTTGTCTAATAATGAGTTCTGTTTCAGCTTACAGGACATGCCAACCAGACGACTTCCACTGCGGCACCAAGGCATCCGATCCCTGCATCCCCAAAGAAAAAAAATGTGATGGCTACTACGACTGCCGGTCAGGCAACGACGAGCAAGACTGTCCTGGAGTTTCATGCCGTTTGGATCAGTTCCGGTGTGCCAGGGGACACAGGTGCATCGAAATGTCGCAGAAGTGCGACCACAAAGACGACTGCGGGGACAATTCTGACGAGCAAGGCTGCAGTAAGTACAAAACGACCTAGTATAGTATTTCTTAATGACGCCAACTTGGATGTTGGAATGCGCGTCAAACACATAAACAGGTTTCTTTCCAGAGCCTCGGTTACAAGCTAGATATGACGCAAAATATTTGGAAAGCCAAAAATGATCTACTGGTCATATCAATCGGTTGTCAAACCTATAGTTATTCAGGTAGCAACGACTCACACCAGAAAATAAACTAAAACCCAAATATGTATGAACATCTGGAGGTTCTGGATTTTATCTCACTGGAATATGTGTCCAATCCAAAGGACTTGAGACCAGTTAGGCTGGATTTCATTTGAGATGAATCGTACTGGCGGAAGATGAATGATGAACGCATTGCTGCATCTAAGATGGAGAAATGGATTGTTGTGGGTGTTACAGAACCAATATTCTAGCCATCTGAACCCTTTGGAAGCATCCACATCATCTTCCAAGCAAAGAAACGTGTGCCTCGACAGAAGACAAGGATCTAGATCCCATCAGACAGTCAAGCAGTACTAAAAACTCTGAAAACATTTACTTGTTGATCTGAATTGATTCGCGACTGCAAAACCCGCAGATAAAAATAAGTATCCTTGATGTTGTTGCCACCTCACAAAGCGGTTTTATTGAATTATGAAGACGATATTATCGCAAAGGAGTTGTGTGAACTCCTAGAAAGCCATATGAAGATAGACTTCCGACAATAGAACCTTCATCAACTCAGCTATTAATGAAATAAAATGTCACGACGAAGACAAACAAAAGATAACGGACAAAAATTTGACATAAGGGGACTCCTTATAGGAGTCCAAAAATTTCAAATGATTATATTGGTTTGCGGACATTAAAAACAACAAAGATGTTGAAAATAAGAGGTACACAATGAGACCCTTGGAGTACTTCCGACATTATATAAATGATAGTCAACCTAGTCCTATCCTAACTCGCTGAGATCCCAGTCAAGAAACTTTTGAATCATGATAGAGACAGATCTGTGACACCAAATGATTTCATCATGAGTAATAATATCTTGTGATTCACATGATCAAATGCTTTAGAGAAGTCTGTTTAGACTGCATCCATTTGCCTTTTTTTCTCCAGAAGCTCTAAAATGTTCTGCTCAAACACCAATAGGTTAGTATTTGTAGACCCCTCCAAAGAAAAACCATATTGATTATTTATGAAACGTACCTTACAATAAAGTATGTCCGCAAAGTATGGAATGAATTCGATATTTCCAAAACCAAAAGTCGTTTTACAAAAACCTGAAACACGTGATTTTAATATTCTACATTTCACAACAAAATTTCATTGTACAGGGTAATCCATATTTATCTGATGACGTCATCGGTAGTTTTTTTTAAATGCAACACCCTTATTTGGTGTCAGTTTTGGATAATCCGTA